AGCTCTCTTGAGCTTGGTGATGGCTCCAGATTGGAGCCCCATGGCATGACATATTTCATCTGTGGGAATGCAATACAACGTGTCAGGATAGCTTCGGCTTTGAAGGAATGCTCCAGTCACATCCCCTTGATGGATACTCCATTGTCTACTGGCTGCCACCTGCAATAAAAGCTGCCGTGTCTGCCTCGTCATGACTCTGGCAGCAGTTTCCCGCTGGGCGTAGCTGGGGTCTTGATACCCCAGCAAGACTGCCCTGGCCTTGGCCTTCCGGCTGCCATCTTCTTTCACCTTCCAGGTGAGCAGCCACCTCATATTGACTGCTTGGTCACGGGATGGCTTCAAGTGTTCAGGAAGTGCTTCGAAAGCCTCGGCCGCAACAAAGTTGCGAACCTCGGCCTCCTTGGCCTCCCGGAAAGCGGCCCGCTCTGACTCACTCAGGTGCTTCTCATGCACTTCCACCGCGCGGCGTCGTAGAGCTCCTGTAAAATATGTTCGCAGATCGTGGGTTGCCCTGCGCAGGGCCGTAGCTTCTTGTGGCAGAGCCACCTCCACTTCTACTGCTGCAGATTGCTCTGCCCAGAAACTGGTGTCCTGACTGCTCCAGGATGCCTCAGCTACCGTGTTGTACCATGCCTCGCCTCGTGCGGGATGTCCCCTTGGTGTCTGGCTTGTCATCCTCCGGCCTGGTCGTGAGGGTTGAGAAGGCGTCGCATCCTCGTCGTTGTCCAGTTCCATCTCTTGGTCCTCGGTTTGTGGGAGGGGTCGTTTACCCCGTAGCCGAAACCGCTGAGGTGGTACTTCCTGCTCTGGGTCTTGAGCCCGCTGCCACTCAGTGAGAGGTGGCCTCTCTTGTGATGCATCCTCGTACTGGTTGCCACCGATCTCGTCAGCGACCTTCTCGAAGGTCCAGGGTGTAGCATCGCCGGTGTGTTCACCGGCGAGTGCCTCGAGTAGCTCCTCTCGTTCTGATGCACGTCGTAGTTGCTCTGGGCAACACTTCACCAAATTCCGGCCTCTCACGCACCATACCGCGCTGCCTGGGTACAGGCAGCCTTGGGCAGCGCGGCGTTGTTCGGTCGCGAGGATGCGTGCTGGTCCCAGGAAATAGCCATGTTTGCTACCAGGATGCTTGCGGCTCTGGCCTGAAACCTGACTTCTCCAATAATAAACAAGCTCTCCAGGCTGGTAATCAAAAACAGGTCTTGTTCGAGAGTTCATGGCCCTGGAGATCCGTTGAGAGGCCTGCCAATCAGCCAAAGCCTTTTCGGCCGATGCCCGGCGATGAGCCTGGAGTCTCAGGTCTTCCGTTGCTGATTCAGTGATCATCTCCTCGGGTACTCGATCTGAAGTTCCAATAATTCTGCCTGTGGAGTCCGGGCTTTGTCCAAAGACGTGTTGCATAGGCGAGAATCCCCGGACTTGTTCTCGGCTGTTGAAAGTTTGTACAGCTACTGCTAGCACCAGCTCCGCAGGAATGTCAGCATCGGTTTCGGCCAACTTGGTCATGATGGTCTTAAGTCCCTGAACTGCCTGCTCACAAACTCCCAATTGCCAATGAGCATCAGCCGGAATGTTCTCCAAATAAATCCCATTGCGCTCACAGAAAGAAACTACAGCTTCACTCCGGAAGGCTCCGGCAGGGTCGAGCCTCAATGTTCTGGGAAGCCCGAAGTATTGGCTCCACCCTTCGCGAAGATAGTGAAGGCATGTGGCAGCGTTTGGCTGTTGCTTGGAACCCTGGGTCACGAACCTGGCCACTCGAAACCTGGATCCTTCGTCAACTATGAGCATAAACTGGTGACTGACATGGTCCCTGGGATCTTGCCAGTGTCCTATATCAGCAGCGATAGTGTGGAACCGTGGGGGAAGAACTTCCAAGGATGACAGATGGCGTGGGGTAATTCGCTGTTTCTCCGCACAAATGGATCACTTGAACTGCTTAGCCAGCTCCAGAACCTCTGGTTTGGCTTTCCTTCGCTTGAGAGCTTCAATGAGGTGTCGGGTGCTTCCATGTCCCGTTGCGGCGTGAAGCAAGTAGAGTTGACGTCTGATTCGTTCCTTTTCGGCTTCGGAGGTGGTGTGCTTACTTGGGGTGACTTGTTCGTTCACATGAGCGGCTTGTGCTTCCGTGGCCTGTTGGGGAGGAGGATTGACGAAACCCAATTTCTGAAGAAAACCCTGATCCTCCGAATTCAAATGCTCAAAACCACGGCAAGAAAACCCTGAAAGAACCCACCTGTTCCCTGTCCAAGCTTCGGGTCCGTGCCACTGCTTCGGACCGAAGCTGCAGACCGTGTGGTGGATGTCATGGTACCGGCCCGCCATGCGTTGCCCGGAAGGCAACACCTTGTAGTCCGGTTTCTGACTCTGTTCGGTGGCGTCATTGGCCACCCATAGTCTACCTTTGGTGTACCTACCTAGCCCTATCGCCACATTGTGACACGAAGCTTCATTATGGATGTCTCGGTGCACCGGATGCTTCGCATTACAACTCAACATCAGAGCATTGCAATGGAGAGGTTTACCGTAGTGATGTTCCAGATAGGCTCGCAAGTACCTAGTCACCTGAGGAAACTGGCGAGTCTTGTTCGTGACCCCATAGTGATTACCATAAGCATAGGTTCCAAGGATCATGTACTGCTTGACTCCTACATCTACCATGCGGCGTCCTCGGCTTCCGGATGGGGCGGGCAGGAGTTCAACTAGTTGCTCGCAATTGACATGCTGAAAGTCCTGACGCTTCAAAAGTTGTTGGGCAAGGGCTTCGACTCGCTGAATCACTCCAAATCGGCTTGCTTCATCTACATGACTCACAATGGCCTCCAGGTCAGCTAGATCTTCAAACCCCTGGGTTTCAGGATCACTCTCCCTTCCCGTATTTTGCAAGGGAGGTCTGCCTAGGGTTTCCCAGCAGCAAACTGGTCCAGTGGTGGTTTGGCAGCTTTGGCTTGTGAGGGGTTGTGGCATGTTTTGGGGTCCTGAGAGCTCTTCGCTTTGGGCCTCCAGGCTTACAGCTTGGCTGAGGCAGCAGTGACACTTCCTACCTTTGTCAACCCTTGGAACCTCCTCACAAACACAAACCGACCCTTCTCCGAAACTGGACAACAAGACACTTTGACCCTGGCACTCACCTTGAAGCGCGCTGGCGTTAAGCTCTTGAAGCAAAGCTTGGGTAGCCCTACGGACCAACTCTTTGGGGTACTTCAGGTTTTGGGCCGTTTGCTGACCAGTGCATCGATCATGCTTGTAGTTCCTAGAACACCTACAGGGAAGCTCTAGTAGCTGCGCCAGTCGACTCTGGGTCGTCATGATTTTCCCGCCGTTCTGCATCAACGGGCTACTGTCGTTCCTCCGGAGGCCTACTCTACATCCCTTCACCGTAGCCTGAAACAACCCGTACCGTTCCCTAAGGCGATGAAGAAAAGGCAACCTCCATGCCTGGCACCTCTCGGGCATTTCCCATGTCACATGAATCCCTGATTGCACACAGTGATGGAGGACGCTAGCGGCTCCAGCATAAATCCGTAGCGCCTCTTGGCGTTTCCTACGCAAGTTGGTTTCATCCTGAGCGGTGCCTGGGCTGAGATTCTGGAGGGGAGAAAAAGGGCCACTTGGAGGCGACAGCCACACATGACGTGGCTGCAACCCATCAATCTGCTGAAGAATCATCTGAACCCCAGCATCAGTAGCCAGGTCGCAAGCGTTCCACTGACTACATCGAACCGCTGACTGAGGATCCGACAGAGTGGCTTTAATGGTTTCCGTCAGTTCACTCTGAGGGCTGCACGCAACTTCCATCAACACCGGTCTCTGGCTAGTTACCAACCCTCAAACAACTTGGGAACCACCGACCAAGACTCCTGTTCTAAGCTAGTGGCTTGCCTTCTACTCAACTGTTTGCTAAGCTGTTGCGAGGCACTTTCGGGCTTACCTTGGGGATCCTCAGTATCTGACGTTGCCTCAGTGGGGTGACTCAGGCATTCTTGGCGGCCTTGGTGGGCTCCTGGCTGCTGGTAGCCGAGGTCGTCTGGCTGTCCTGTCGCAGCTCCTTGACCTCGTTCTTCAACTCGGCAACCTGCTCCATCAAGGCCTGGAGGACATTGGTCTCGGCCGTGGTCTCCTGGATCTGACTCTTCTTGCGGCCCCTCTTGAGCGTGTCGGTCTCCTTGGGTGTCGGTGGCTTCAACTCCATCTCGTCCTGGTGGGCCAACCACTTGGCAAAGCGGCTGAGGCGGGGATCGCATTGGTTGCCCGGCTCCTTGGCAGTGTTGCGTACCCAATTGCAGTAGCCTGGATCTGTGGTCCACACCTCGGCATAGCTCTTGGTACTGTGTTTGCCGAAGCCCAGCTGATCGCTGTCGTGGGCTTCCACCACATCGTAAATGCGACGGATGGCTGCCATCTTGATGCGGTCGATCGTGTAGCTGTCCATGTTCGAAATCCGGAGCTCGTTGGTCACAAACTCCAGCAGCACACTCTTGCGCCGAGAAGCCTGGTTGAGCTTGGTCACCATCTCTTGGAAGGGTGACTTCCCTTTGCTGGCCTTGGGCTTGATCTTCTCGGCCATGTCCTGGCCCGTGATTTGCTCCAATCGTAGCTGCATCTCGATCTTGGTCCACCCCCGGGGCGCTTCCACACCCAGTTTGGCCAAGGCTTCCACCAGCTCCTCGCGATTCATGTCCGACATGGCAAGCGACTCGGGGAAGCGGTGTGAAAGGATCACGAAGAGGTTCTTTGGGTGCTGGAGGCTGCGAAGTGGAAGTGTTCTCGATCAGCTCACTCGGCCCCTCTGGCACAATCTCACAACCTACGTCCATGGATTTAGATCTATCAACATCCACTAAATCAGTGATGTCTTCATCCCTAGAATTCTCATGAGGTCTCGCTGGCCTCTCTGAGACCCCGGAACCGCGAGAAATCGCGGTGTGCACTAACACATCTGGTTCTACTCTCTGGTCCTCCCTTTTGTCGCCAGATCTCGACTCAGGGAGGAGTTGTCCCTACTCCTCCTTGGGAGCGTTGCTCAAAAATGTGGACAAGCTGGGAACTTCGACATGTGCATCCTCGGCCTTCTCGAAGAGGTCCTTGGTCAATGGAAGTAGTTGATGGCCGCTGGACGATCGGCCCAGGCGGATCACTTTCTTGGCATTCAAACCCCGGAGTACCATCAAGTCCTCGGAAAAGTCCACTACCGCCTTGAGGTTCCGGAGGGCCTCAATGGAGAGGAGGATGGGGCCTTGGCCACGGTCCAAGGCATGGACTCTCAGGTGGCCTGCGCGGCCGCCTGCTGAGATAGGCACCTAGACAAACACACATCTTCCGTTGAATTCCCAAATCCAAACCTGGGCTGGTCTTGGGTGTCCACCACGAAGTTGGTCTCGGATGAGAGTCGCATGACTTGCTCCAAAGCATAGACGGAGCCCAATGACTTAGTGGCCCCGCAGTCGATGATACAGTTCCCTTGGGCGATGGCCTCGGCGGTGCTTGGCAGCTCCTGGGACTCGGCGATGAGGCTAGCTTCATCACAGTAGCACACGAATGGTGCTTGGGCGGTTGGATTGCTCTTGGCCTTGGGCTTCTCCGCGGGGCACACGGCTGCTCGATGACCGAGGGCGCCGCAACGAAGGCAGGTGATCTGCGAATCATCCCGGTGAGCTCCTCCAGCTGCTGAGCCAGAGCTGGAGCCCCTGAAGTATTTTCGATTCAATCGCACCTCCTTCTGCTTTTCTCGCGCCATCTTCAGTGTGCGCTTCGAGCCCTGATAGGCGACCCAGGCGGTCTCCACCTCCTGTGTAGCCTCTGCCCACAAGGCCTGGCCTTCCTCATCCAGATCCGGAGGATCCATTGTCACTTCCTCCGCGATCTCCTCATCGTCGTAGTCGTCCTGTGCTTCGCCCCACATCCCATGATACTTGCGACTTGCGTCTCGCCGACGCGTCTCTGACTCTGGGAATTGCGTCCGCAGTTCCTGCGCCACCCGTTGGAGGCGCATGTCACTCTGCACCGCTGTCAACACCATGTTTCTCTCGTTGGCATCTAACTGGGCATCCTGTAACAGCATCCATGCTTGCACAAACTCAGGCACCAGATCGGGAAGGACTGCCGGGGCCTGAGGTGATGTGACTCCCACGACCACCCATAGTCCCATCCCCAACTCCAGGAAGACCAACCCCACGTAGATTCACCCTGGCCATGGCTTGTTGTGCACGGATGTAAACTTCGCACTTCCGGGTGATGTATTCGGCCATGCTTTCGCCCGTCTTACGACGGGAACCACGGAAGTACTTCGACATCAAATCTGTTAATTCAGGAATTTGAGGCTTGCCCAAACATCTGCCCAGATGTTCCAGGAGTCTCTCGACTCCCCCAGCAAAGGAGAGCCATTCCGGCCGTTGTCCGATCACTAGCCGCTTCGCGGCTCCGGTTAGTTCAGCTTGCAGACGAGGACCACATAGATAGCGCTTCTGGTACTGTGTAGTCTGTTCAAAAAGCCTTGCTGCTTCAGCATAGCTCTGAAAGCTCTCGCCTGAGCCGTCCCAGATCGGTACTCCTTCTTTGGAGCGGGGAAAGGCTCCTCCTGTCTCTTCACTTGTGTTCTGCGCAGGGCTCATAGCGCTGCGCAGCCTGAAATGAGGTCCCTGGATATTGTGAGCCCGTAGGCTCCGCTACCATGCAAGTGATCTTGCTGGTAAGTGCCGTCTCAAGAGCAGGTGATCGTAACTCGGCAGAGGGCCTATGGCTATTGAGGGCGGCGAACAGCCCCTGCGGACTTTTGGCACCCCGTTGCCTGCTTGATCCACTGTGACTTCACATACACACAGATTCTGCGTGGGAGTGACGAGTGCTTCGCACTTGCAAACCCTAAAGCCTAAAAGCCCTAAAAGCCCTAAAAACCAAAAAGCCAAAAGCCCTAAAAAACCCTAAAGCCGAAAAAACCCAAGCTCTTCAGCTTTGCTTCGAGGTGCCATCGGTCGCGCCGGCCTGGCAGTGATCCGGGGCACCAGCAGCGCTGTAGAGACCACGGCCAAGAAAAAGAAGACTCCCTTTTTTGGAGGGTTGATAGGGTTTATCTCCCTCTTTTGAGGGCTTTTAGGGTTTATCTCCCTTTCTGATGGTTTCCAGATTTTTGGTTTCAGGGTTCTGAGGCTTGAGGGTTCAGGGGTTCAGAGTGTAAGCGAGGATCAGGATGGGACGTGCAGGGCCTTAGTTCTGAATTGCACATAGTCCAATGTAGCTCCCATTCCAGACATGATCCGCCACCGCCCTCAAAACCCTTGCAAGACCCTGTAAACTCCTAAAGGCCATGTCAAGCCCATTCTTTCCTTTGTTGAAAGCACCTACCTAAACCCGCAACATCAAACTGAAGTGCCAGTCCCGTGTACTCCTTTTCCCTTCTCAGCCCACCAGGGATCCTCCTAAAGGCGAGGTTAGAACAGATCTATGGCCTTCTCTGCCTCTAAGCCTATGCCTGCTTTCCCCGAAACAGCTTTGGCGGAACAGGTTTTGCCCAAAGCTCCTGCGAGCAATGTTACCGTCAAAGTTCAGGGTACCAAGCGCGCAGAAACCCCCAAACCCACTTCACTTTGCTGCAGGGGCCGCCCCTTGTGGTGTGGCAGACGAGAGTTTGGGGGGATTCCGAGCTACGGTGCAACCCAGAGATGCTGAGGCCGAAACGTTGCACCCAGCGCCTCGATTTCTGATGCGTTCTAGGTCGTTGTTTTTGCGATTGGGAATCAGCTCTATTCCCGCAAATGAGAGGCTTTTGAAGTTCTGCCCCAAGGTTTCCACCTCCAGCCTCATCGCCTTCATCCCGTGCAAAAAGGTGAGGCAAGGTCAGGTTTGCTTTCCATCGGTACTTTGATGACTGCAGTATAGATTGCCGAAGAAACCACGTCAGTCACATGACTTCCCCCAGTAGGGTTCAGGGTTTACGGAATCGCTCCGGCAGAGCCATTTCCTATGGCTCAAAGTCCACATGAGTTGGCATCCGGGCCAACTCCCCTTCCAACGTAGCCTCTTGGCAGCACCAACTAAGTGTATATGCTAGTATGCGCGACAGTAATAAGAGACTACTATACTACTACTACTACTACTACTACTACTACTAATGACAATAATAATAATAAATATATATATATATGTATGCATGTATGTATGTATGCATGCATGCATGCATGCATGTATGTATGTATGTATGTATGTATGTATGTATATGCACAAACCCATTTTATTCAGCTGATAAAACTGGGTCTTGCAATCCACGACCACAAGTGCAAAGAGCCACCGTGACAGCTGTGACTCCTGTGATTCACTAGAAGTTGGCCCTGTGTGGTTATAACCATAGCTATAGTTCGTTACCATTGCCATCACAGCAGCTGCTGCCACCGCCAGCACCACCACCAGAACCACCACATACCACGACCATCACAACCGCAACCGCCACCACCTTAGCAGTTACCACAACCACCGCCACCCGAAACGGCAACAGCAGCAGCCGCCAGCAGCAAAAGCAACAGCCGAACCCAGGAGGACAACAGCAGCAACAGCGGATTATCATGATGCTAATGATGATGACGACGATGATGATGTTGATGATTGTGCGACTACACCGATCAAGCTGCACTACACTGTCCCAGCTGCCGCTCTAGCTCCGCAGATCTCCATACCCGAATCCCATTGTCGGCTGTTGCTCCGGATCGGGCCCTGAATTCTCAACACCATGCCCTGCTCTTGGGCAAGCCCTTGCGAGGCCAATGAAGTGGAGTCTTGCCAACATGATAGGCTGGATCTGGTGGTTCGGGGTCCTCAATGGGTGATGAAGATACTGCTATCGGGCTGTGTGGGGATCCCAAAAGGTCCTGAGATCCATAATTGTCAGAGATGAGCAGTGGGTTTAGGGGTTTCGGGATGTACTTTACATTCAGGGTGTTTCGGGCTTGCGGATTTGGGGTTTAGGGTTTGCTGGCTCCAGGGGGTAGCATGTGCTGATCTTTTCTGGGGTGTTCAGAGATCGGTGGTCCAGGCTCTGTGTAGGGTCCTTACATGAACCTCCGCGACCCTCCGCTGTGCAGTTTTTGTTTCCAAGTCCGGATACAATCCCTGCATTTTGAGCCCGAAAGCCCTGAACTCACACCCGCTAAACTCTGAGCAGGATTGGGTGTACCGGGCGTCGAAGCTTTGATCTGATATTTGTGTATGTACTCACCGTGGAATCGCTGTCTCCCATCAATGTAGTCACCGTTTTGAGCCAGCCGGTTTTGTGTTTAGGGTTCTACCCACATATTATACACTTTGGCATGAATATACCTATGCACAGAGTATTTTATGGCCAAAGTATGTACTGTTATATGGGTACAGGGACCCTTAGGGAAATATAAGCCGAAGGCAACTGCACAAACGAAGCATAACGGAAGTTGTAGTTATTTGCCAAAGGCTTTGATTTCTGGAGTGGTGGTATTCTGATGCATAATCCCCAAGACGCTATGCCTGAGCCCGATCTCGAATTATCAAAGCCCTGATAGCCTGGGCGTGATCGTGGGTGTTATGAAGTGGTTGCGTATGGTCCAGAACCCCACCAGCCCACCAGCCATTCCCTAAACATAACTTTGGGGTTTGCATCACTTTTTTATGTTCTTCGGGTTCCTTACCTTACTTTACTTGCGGGCGAACATACCCCCAAGCCCCATCCTAATATACTCCCCAAAGCCTATTCTAGTGTACCCCGAAACCGAAACCTTAATATGATCAATACGGCCCCCCTGTGGAGACCCTGTGAGTCCCATGCCGCAGTTCTGGGCAGCATCCTGCAAACGTCAGCTCTGAAGTTTTTGACCAAGGAGGCAGCGAGCGTTTTTTTTTTTTTTTGGGGGGGGGGGATCGGGGTGGGGTTGAGAGCTTAATTTAGGGTTGAATTAGGATTTAATCTAGGGTTCAGTTAATTCAGGGTTTAGCAAATCAGGGTAGGGTTTACGGCATCGGCAACTTATGCACCAAGTGTTTGGAGTACAGCATTCTCTATCTCTGTGTGTGTGTATTTGTGT